AGCTGGTAGCGCAATGGAATGGAAAGTATGCTTCGGCTACGCCGGTTCCAGATCTTTTTCGGGTTGCGAAGCAGTCCGTCATTCTTGAATCCGTTTTGGAGGAACAGTGGGGCCCCTGGGGGTTCGAAACATGAAGGAACTCATTTATGATTGCTTTATGCACGCTCCAGCAGTTTCGATGCTCCCAGGGATCTCGCGTAGGAGTTGCACGTATGATGGCCCAGATTACGCATCCGTTCGGTGGAAAACGAAATGGGTTCGCGGGTACTGAGGGCGTACTGAGAAGGATGTGTCACTGGAACAAACCTGTCCGGATCGCCGAGGCCTCATCGAAGTCGGGTTTGGGCGGAGAGTCCAGGCGGATTTTTTCCCACAGTCCCCTGAAGGGTGTTGTTTGGGGGGGCCTAGTGCTTGAAGCCTAGTGAAGTGGGAAATGGCAGGACTCGTCGGGCCTGTTTCCTTTCTCGGGGTCTTTCTCGTCTGACAGACCCAGGAGCCTGCACGCAAGGCAGGAGCCCCAGGAGCCTGCACGCAAGGCGGCTCCAGGAGTTGAGGGTTCAAGCGGCCCCAGGAGCCTGCACGCAAGGCAGGATTTGTGAATGTAGGTATGAGGGGAAACCTAGTTTGCATTGGAGGCGTGTAGTGGCTTTTCTCGTCTGAGTTTCATGCGGGCCGTTTTCGCTACAATCCCTCATTGGACCCCCAGTGGCTTCCCAGTGTAAGTTTTATTGTATATCTTACGCATTCGTTCATTCGGTTCGTTCGTGCTATTATGCCGCTTGTAGGGGCCACGGGTTTGGGGAGGGGCACGCCAGGTGGGAGCTGTAACCATGATTGCCTGTAGTACGCCTGTGGTACGCGAAGGGCTCATCAGTTGGTTTCTGCTGGTGGTTTTCGTTACAAACGTTGGTGGATATTAGGGGGCCCTGAGCAGTGGGGCAATGTTGCGTCCGGGAAGCTTCCGCGGACCTCCGGGGACATCCGGGAACCTCCAGGGACCGCCAGAGGAGGCGAGGCAACATCGACGACGACGACGACGACGACGACGACGACGACGACGACGACGACGACGACTACGATGACGACGACGACGACGACGACGACGACGACGACGACGACGACGACGACGACGACGAAGCAGCGTGCCGAAACGGGGTGTCGCCCACATGCGGGCGGCGTCACTGAGGCTTTCAGTGGAGTTCCCTCTTGGGCCACGAAGCGTGCGAGGGGTGTGCCGAAACTGGGTGTCGCCCACATGCAGGCGGCACCACTGAGGGCTTCGGTGGAGCTACCTGTGGCCTGTGGGGTTACGAAACGCGTGAGGGGTGTGCTGAAACGGGGGTGCGCCAGTGGAGGGTTGCCGATTGATCCAGGGTGTTGGGTTTGGTGAGGGTTTGCCCTTCGATACAGGGTGCTGGTTTTGGTGGAGTCTGCCGTTTGCTTTCGGGAGGTGGCTTCGGTGGGTGTTTGTGTGTGTTCCTGGGGGTTTGGCGTAGTGGAGGGGTGCCGTTTTCCAGGGTGCAGGCCTTGGCGAGGGTTTGCCGTTTGATCCAGAGTGCTGGGTTCAGTCGGGGGGTGCCGTTTCATCGAGGGTGCCAGGTGCAGTGGAGGGTTGCTGTTTGATCCATTGTGTTGCGTTTGGTGAAGGGTTGCCGTTTGATCGAGGGTGGTGCCTTTGGTGAGGGTTTCCCGTTTGCTTTGTGGAGGTTGCTTCGGTGGGGGTTTGCCGTGTGCTCCTGGGGTTTGGCGTAGTGGAGGGTTGCCGTTTGATCCAGAGTGCTGGCTTTGGCGAGGGGTTGCCGTTTGATCCGGGGTGCTGGCTTCGGTGGGGGTTTGCCGTTTGTTCAGGGTGCCAGGTGTAGTGGAGGGCTGCCGTTTGATCCCGGCTGCGGCTTGGAATGTGGTGAATCAGCAGTGCGAATGATCAGTGCGAGGGTTTCGTTTGATCTGGGGTGTTGGCTTCTATGGAGGGTCGCTGTGTGATCCAGGGTGCCCGGTGCACTGGGGCTTGCCGTTTGATCCAGGGTGTTGGGTTTGGTGTGAGTTTGCCGTTTGATCCAGAAGGTTGTTTTTGGTGAGGGTTTGCCGTTTGCTTTCGGGTGGTGGCTTCGGGGGGTCTTTGCCGTTTGCTCCTGGGGGTTGGGCGTAGTGGGGGGGTTCCGATCGATCCAGGGTGCTGGCTTTGGCGAGGATTTGCCGTTTGATCCGGATTGCTGGCTCCGGTGGGGGGTTGCTGGTGATCCAGGGTGCCATGTGCAGTGGAGAGTTGCCGTTTGATCCAGGGTGCTGGCTTTGGGGTGCGTTGCTGTGATCCAGGGCGCTGACTTTTGTGAGGTTTTGCCGTCTGCCCCGGGCGGCGGCTTCGGTGGGGTTTCGCCGTTTGCTCCTGGCGGTTGTGTGTGGTGGAGGGTTGCCGTTTGATCCAGGATCCAGGGTGGTGCCTTTGGTGAGGGTTTCCCGTTTGCTTTGTGGAGGTTGCTTCGGTGGGGGTTTGCCGTGTGCTCCTGGGGTTTGGCGTAGTGGAGGGTTGCCGTTTGATCCAGGGTGCTGGGTTTGGCGAGGGTTTGCCGTTTGATCTGGGGTGTTGGCTTCGGTGGGGGTTTGCCGTTTGATCCAGGGTGCCAGGTGTAGTGGAGGGCTGCCGTTTGATCCATGCTGCGGCTTGGAATATGGTGAATGAGCAGTGCGAATGATCAGTGCGAGGGTTTCGTTTGATCTGGGGTGTTGGCTTCTATGGAGGGTCGCTGTGTGATCCAGGGTGCCCGGTGCACTGGGGGGTTGCCGTTTGATCCAGGGTGTTGGGTTTGGTGTGAGTTTGCCGTTTGATCCAGAATGTTGTTTTTGGTGAGGGTTTGCCGTTTGCTTTCGGGTGGTGGCTTCGGGGGGGTGTTTGCCGTTTGCTCCTGGGGGTTGGGCGTAGTGGGGGGGTTCCGATCGATCCAGGATGCTGGCTTTGGCGAGGATTTGCCGTTTGATCTGGATTGCTGGCTCCGGTGGGGGGTTGCTGGTGATCCAGGGTGCCATGTGCAGTGGAGAGTTGCCGTTTGATCCAGGGTGCTGGCTTTGGGGTGCGTTGCTGTGATCCAGGGCGCTGACTTTTGTGAGGTTTTGCCGTCTGCCCTGGGCGGTGGCTCCGGTGGGGTTTCGCCGTTTGCTCCTGGCGGTTGTGTGTGGTGGAGGGTTGCCGTTTGATCCAGGGTGCTGGCCTTGGGGAGGGTTTGCCGTTTGATCCGGGGGGTTGGCTTCGGTGGGGCGTTGCCGCTTGACCGAGAGTGCCAGGTGTAGTGGAAGGTTGCCGCAGGGTGCTGGCTTCAGTGAGGGGTTGCCGTCTGATCCGGGGTGCTGGCTTCGGTGGTGGTCAGCCGTTAGATCCAGGGTGCTGGGTGCGGCGGGGGGATGCCGTTGAATCCCAGGTGGTGGTTTTGGTGGGGGTTTGCCGTTTGATCCGGGGTGGTGGTTTCGGTGGGTGTTCGCCGTTAGATACAGGGTGCTGGGTGCGGCAGGGGTTGCCTCATGATCCACGGCGCTGACTTTCGTTTGAGGTTGCCGTTTGATCCGGGGCTGTGGTTTTTTTTTTGGGGGGGGGGCCGTTGATCCCAGGTGTTGGGTGCGGTGGGGGTTCGATCCACGACCCTAGCTTTGGTGAGGGTTTTCCATTCGATCTGCGGCGTTAGCTTCCATGGGGTTTTGCTGTTTTTGATCCAGGGTTCCAGGTGCAGTGGAGGGTTGCCGTTTGATCCAAGGTTCTGGTTTCGTTCGAGGGTTGCCTTTTAATCCGGGGTGGTGGTTTCGGTGAGGGTTTGCGACCTGGACCAATTGTCCGCGTTATGCCTCAGAGACTTGCATGCCTCATTGGGTTGATGTGGCCGTCGGCCCTGGCGGACTTTTCACAGGTCTTGCCGTTCGTGATTCCGTTCATGGTGTCCGGCCCTGATTACGTATTCCATTCCAGAGAGGACCGGTGGAGACGGAAGGATGTGGAAGGAGAGTTGCAAGCTCCGTGGGTAAGTGCTGCTGCCTTTACGGCCGCATTCGCCCGACGATGCGAGTCACAATGCAGGCGGAGTTGGGACGCGCTACCCATCATTCGGTCTGTGAATTTTAAGTATGCGGTGGAGACAGCAGGGTCGAGTTTGGCTGTGCCAATGAGTGGCTTACGAGGTGCAGCGTCCGAGCTCCGTGCGGATAGATTTGTTGCCATGGCGAAGCACTTGTACGAAGTATTGCACCGTGGGAAGATAAGGTATGGCAATTTCCGTGTTCCCTTGAATGGAGATACGTCTCGACTTCATTTGGCTGAGGGGCTGACTAAGGCGGAGAGACAGCTTGCTCGACGTGCGAACTTTGTCGCTGAGCACTTCGCAGGAACGCAGCAATGCCGGCAGCTGATGGGGCACAGGCACTTCGGTGCGCGGCTCCAATATGGAGATTGTTTTTTTTTTACTTTGTCTCCCAATGAGAAGCATTCCGCGTGGGTGTTGCGCCTGACCCGCACAAGGGTGAATGATCCAGCGATCAGGTGCAGCGATCCTGTGTGGCGCAGGCTTTGCGGGGTGGATTATCCCGAGCTATTCTCGAAGCGCGCGTCTGACCAGCCAGATGGTGATGCAGTAAAGACCGCGTGTTCTGGCAGAGAGGAGGCGGCCATTTTGCGGGACCATACGGAGCCCAACGAGAGCGTGTGCATAGACGTGCCGGGCTTTGACCTTCGGCAGGTGGCTGTGTCCCAGGATCCCTTCGCAGTTGTGGAGGCACACCAGTTGAACATATGTCTTCGGCTCGCTTGGCTTCTGGGGGTTCGTATGTGCCCTGAGTGCCCGAGGTGCAATCGGTCGCAGTGGGGATGCCAAGATATGCACGGATCCAGCATGCGGCCATGGGGGGGCATATTAGGAGGGGTTGATGCTTTCGGCATTGGAACTGAGTGCCAGCAGATGTCCACTCCACACATGCATGGGCAGGCGCACATCGTATGCTTGTATCAGTTCGGTTCCTTGCAGGACGTCGCTCGGATCGTGCAGGAGGGTTTGCAGCATGCGAATGGACGCACGACGCTGGATGCAATGAAAGAGTATCGGGACTGGGTGCATGTCGAGCGGGTGTTGCATCCTGACGGCGGTCAGATTGAGCGCGACAAGGTAGAGCAGGATTTCTTCGACGGCTTCCGAGATGAGGCGCATGCTCCGCTAAATCAGATACCGGTCTTTCTGAAGGAGGACTCTGAGAAGGTGGACGGCCCGACGCTGGCTACCTGTTATGGGGATGTCTCTGCCATGGAGCGGTTGCGGGCTGAGGGGGAAGCCTTCGCGGACGCCTACACCAGGGATGCGGAGTTCGCGTTCGCCCGCGTCCAGCACCGCACACACCGGAGACAAAAGGATGGCACGTATGTGCCATTGAATGCTTGCGCGCGGAAAGGATGTGGCGGGAAGAAGAGAGGAGGGGTGGCCAAGACGTCGTTGTGCAAGCACGACTTTCCCAAAATGGCGCTGCTGGCCTCGAAGACTATGTTGGTGTGCCCCGGCGTAGCGAAGCAGCGAGGACTACGAGTGTCGGGCAAGAGGAACTCTTTTGGATTGTGGATCGGCGCCAGGACAGACGAATGGCGAAGTGGGACGACTCCAGCGTTTGCGGTACACTTCCGGTCGAATTCCCACACGGGCCCCAACCAGAGGGTGCCTCCCATTCCAGGAGCGCACGAGGAGAGTTGCCCAAGCAAGAAGTGTCAAGAGGCTGCGGCGAAGTATGGGACTGCTGCCAAACTGAAAAGTATTCTTCGGTTGATGCAACGTGCGCAGCGAGAAGTTACTGGTTACTATTGCGGCTACACGTTCAAGGGCCAGACTATAGGGAAGAAACACATGGCACGCGCGTCTACGGCGTTAGACTACCTGACCCCAGAGCTCTCCGCGAAGACGGTCACGCAGCGCATGCACCAAATCACCAATCGTGTCTTGACTGACTTGCACCATCGGTGCGCCGCGAGGCCCGCGACTGAGGAGTGGAATCTAGCGATGTTCTGGCATGAGCAAGACGTCACTAACGCTGAGTTCCACAGGACTTTTATGTCAGTGACATTTCCAGGCGGGCAGTTAGTGCAGCGGCTGGAGGATGAAGTGCAGGGTCGAACGGCGAGGGAGTCTAGGAAGGTGCTGCCGAAGAACAAGAAGATCAGCGATGAAGAACACGTGGCGAGGACGATGGTGAAGCATTTCGCGGACTTGTATGGGTTCCGTGGGTTTTTGCCGAAGTATGCAGAGGTGTATTATTTGAATGCTTGGGAATTTGCGGCGCTGTGGGAAGTGCGGCCATTGCCGGCGCCGACGTCTACTGGGAGCAAGGGTGCGCCTCCGTTATCTTGTGGGACCCCAGAGGATTTCAGCGTGAATCCAGATGCAGAGAAGTTCTACGCTGATTCGGGGAACATATTGTTTTACCCCGACAGCACTGGGGATTTACGGCATTCTTGGTACATGCAGCGTCGGCGGAGTCCCATAGTGCCCGCCCCGAGCGGAACTCCCTTGCCTGACAAGTACAGGTCGCCGGAGGTGCAGGGGAAGTTGTACTCTTTGTACATGAGGCCGTGGGTACTGAAGAAAGAGTGGGCCACAGTGCAAGTGCCCCATGTTGCAGATCTTGATGTTGTGCCGGCGGGTGCGAGAGCGGAGCCCCGCAGAACTCGGTTGGTATCAAAGCGTCCGAAGGATATGGGACAAAGGAGCTACGAGCAGTCGTGGCGGTGGTATGTGTGTGGGCACGTAGTATCGCGGCACGCCCAACGGCTGATTCAGCAGTTCATGGCGGCGTGTTGCGGCAAAAGCAGTTCGACAGACGATCGAGACAGCGAGGGCGCTGCGCGTCGTCCAGACGCCCCGGCGAACGAGGTTGCGCTGGCGCAGTTGCACAAGCTCTTGGATAGCCTGGGGGATACGAGGTCAAACTCGCGGGCAGATGCGGTAGAGAGCTCCGACGATGACGTCATGGCTGTACGTCAGAAGAAGAAGACAGATGTCATGCAGACCGCCTTCAACACGACGTGGTCTCTGTGGAAACGCGATGCATCCCCATGGAGCGCGACTGAGGCGGGCAAGAAGCACTCCGTCGTGAACTTCCCAGTGGGCGGGAGCGGAGGGGGCAGCAAGAAGCGGAAGGTGGAGCACGGGGGGGCCGTGGTGGAGCAGGGTGCTGCGTACGTCGGTTTGGAGAAGCGCTCGGTAGACGCGTGGTGGAGAAAGATTGAAGCGGGGAAGAAAACGCCCAACAAAGAGCAGAAAGAATTCTTGCAAGCAGTCGTGGGCCGATGCCAGGTAGAGGCGTCCGAATTGTCGGCCGCGCGGTGTGGGGCGGGCCGGACGGCAAAGGCGCCCATGTTGACGGAGCCGGCTCGTCTCATGCTGCTTGGGATTCCTGGTTCGGGGAAGTCGTATTGCTTCCACTTGCTCCGAGACTTTTTCCAAGAATGCTTGCAGTGGACTCACGGGGTGCACTTTCAGTTTCTGGCCACTCAGAACTCGATGGCGGAGTTGATAGGCGGGAATACCATCCACAGCTGGGCGGGTATATCCTTTGGAGTGGGCGGAAGTGGCGGGAAGGCGACCTCGAAGGATGGCGATTGGGGCGCGTTGTTCGAGAATTGCATCAGCATGCGTTGGCTTCTTATCGACGAGATGAGCACAGTGTCTGTGGGTTTGCTCGCTACTATGGAGTCTTTTTTGCGGCAGAAGGCGTGTGTGCAGCACCCGTGCGCTTTCAGAAATGCCCATAAGAAGCAGCGTCCGCGGCCATTTGGAGGATTGAACATCGTGTTCGGGGGTGATCTGTGGCAGCTTCCCCCGGTTAAAGAGTTGGCTCTGTTCTCGCATCCTGTGTCGAAGAAGGACGGTGACAGGTACGAGGCGGGGGAGCAGAGGGTGTTGGCGATGTTCTGGAACTGCAGAGGGAGAAGCCAGGAGGATGGCGTGCAGCGATTGTTCGAGTTGCACGCGGCGAACAGGAGCAAGGACCCGTGGTTGAACAGCGTGCTGACTGCAGATAGGGGCGGCTCTGAGACCTGGGAGATGTACTGCTTCACGCACGGCCTGGCGACTGAGAACCCAGGGTCGTGGCTTCCTGATCGCGGTGGCCGTGTCGCTTGCCAGCGGCCGTTCTGCGCCGGGTTGAAAGTACTATGGGATGAGCTGAGACGAAGAGGCGTATCGTGGGATGAGAGGAGGAGAATGGAATGCGATGACTGCGGAAAGGAACGGCCTCGCCGGTGCATAGTGTTGACGCAACATCCAGATCATGAAAGGTACAGAGAGGGGGACTTCGCAGACGCTCCTTTCATACACCCGTTTCGAAGTCCGACCAACTATGCACAGCAGTTGCGGGCCTTGCAGTTTGCGAGGTCGAGAAGGAATCGCGTGCTGTGGGTGGTCGCCCATGACGAGCTGAAGAGCTGCGGTGACGACCCGAAGCGGGCGAGGCAGGAAGAGAAGGAGAAGTGGTTACAGTTTTCAGACAAAAGAACCGCTGGCATTCCCGGCTTGTTCCCGTGTGTCCTGAACTTGCCTGTGCGGTTCACGGCGGAACCCGAGCCTGGCGATCGACACAAGGGGGTTTTTACCAACGCGCGCGGACATCTGAGGGGATGGGAGTTGCCGCCGGAGGAGGAGCAGCGGCTGGCGGGCATCGACGCAGCAGAGGTAGCGTTGCATCGAAGGCCGCTGCGGTTGTGCATTGAGATGGCGTCAGGGAACTGCAATTTAGAGAGAGTGGAAGGGAAACGCGTGTACTTTCTGCGGCCTCGGTGGAGGACGTGGTACAAAGATGGGGACGCTCGTCAGGTGGAGGTGCATCGCGTTGGATTTCCGCTTGTTCCAGATTTTGGTGGCACAGCTCACATGTATTGCGGCGCATCTTTGGACGCTGGAGTGGGAGATTTATTCAGTGGCAGACCGCCTATTGAACCGCCGTGGTCAGATTCTGGGTGAGAACCCTCGTGGGTGTTTCGTGGGTGATGGTTTGATGGATCTCAGGGGCTTCTGGGGAGCGCAGTTGAGGCATCGTAAGGATCCTTAGGGCCTTTGGGGGCTTTCTTTGAGTTGCTTCGGAAAATCATCGGGTCTCCTCGGGTGGCTCGTCATTCACGTTCTTCTCTTCGGGCGTGTTGGGAGGTGACTGGGCCTATTTTGGGCTGTGTTGGAGGCCGCAAGGGCTGTTTCCGTGGCCGCTTGGGCTGTCTCAGCGGTCTCCTGGGAGTGTCTTCGGGCTTCGTAGGGCGATAGTCGAGGGCTCGGACGGCCTCAAGGGTGGGAAGATTGAACAGGTACGTACGAGAAATACGGACAGTGATGAACACGCAGTGCAATGCAATGGGAAGTAGAAAGGTAGGAGTGGCCTTGATGACGCGCCCATTCCGTGCATGCAGGCGCGGTGGCGGATTGGATTGGCACGAGAAGCCGAATAGGGAAGGCACCGTCCGAGGGTACATTGTGAAGTCGCGAGTGCAGAAGTGCGAGCAGCTTTTATTGGCGAAACCGTATAATCCGATGTTGTTCAGGATGGGGGCGCCGAGAGGGCCGCACTATCTGCTAGAAGTGTTGCGCGGGAACGTGACCCGCGCGGAAGCCGTGCGTGAGTGGGACGCTGCAGAGAGGAAGGACAAAGAGCAGAAGGACCAGGACGGCGGCCAGACCACGCGATGGAGCCATATCAAATTGCCGTGTTGGCGGTGCAGCAGCGAGCGGGGCGAATTGCCACTTACTATGTTTACCAGCGCGTGGCGAGTCTCAGACGTGTGGAGTCGCACCATCGCGAAAGGTCAGGATCTGATGTGTCTGAAGTGCTCTCGTGACATGGGCGCTGGGACGCAGCGAGCAGTGCGGATTATGACGTGCGACGGGTGCTGCGTAGCGAAGTTGCCACGCATGTTCAGCAGGGATATGGTGGAGAGGTGGAAGGGGATGGAGGACGTGGGTGAGATCTTGTGCAAGCAGTGCACGGGAGAGCGGAGTAAGACAGGGAGAGTGGCGCAGTCTTTAGAGAGGTACGCCTGTTGTGGAATTGGGTGTTCGAGTGACTCTGGGCAGAAAGTGTGGCCGGAGGAATACTTCGTGGCAGCCCATTTAGTGCGCGACGCGGAAAGACAGCAGACCAGCGTGTGCGCGAAATGCGTAGTGTTGGAGCGCCGGGACCAGGGCGCCCGGTTTGCGTGCAACAAGTGCGGGGTGGAGAAACACATCACGGAGTACTCGCAGGTGTTCTGCAAACAATATCTGATGGGGGAGCGGCGGGAGCTGAATTATAGATGTTTGGAGTGCCAGTTTCCGAAATGCGATCGGTGCGAGGCGCGCCCGGAGAAGCCCGTCTCAGCGAACCACGTAGACTCAAAAGGTAAGTGGTTGTGCCGTGTGCACCGGTACCCGCCGTGCAGCGGATGTGGAAAAGCGAAGACGGACGAGATGATCGCTGGGAAGAACAGGCTTAAGCAGTGGAGGTGCGAGGAGTGTCAGAATAGCGGCAGTGTCTGCGATGCGACCACTGGACGGCAGGACGACGTCGGAGATGTGCGCAAGGACGTGGACCATGACGTGCAGACGAGAGAGGATACAGAGGCCGATGGTGGCCCTGGAAAGGTGGAGAGGCGCGTGCAGTGCGCGGAGTGCCACAGGTGGAAGGAGAAGGGGGACTTCAGGTATACAATGGGCTGCGCCCTTGCCGCCGGACGCGTTGCGCGCAATAGCCTCGTTCGGGCTCCCGGAGTGGTGAAGCTTCGTCAGGGCTGGCTCGTGGGTCCTGGAGACGTCATGGGTGTCGTTCAGGATGTTCTTTTCACGCGGACCGTTTGTGCTACAATCTTCCTTTGAGGGTCACGGGGCTCCTGGGGCTGGCTCAGAAGGCAGTTGTTGTAAGCATGATTGCTTCTTCGGGAACGCCTGGTGGTCGAGGTCGTGTGAAGCGTCAGGCGCGCAGTACTTGTACAAGCGAGCCTGCAGGCCACGTGGGCTTCTTGAAGTAGCATAGCTGGTAGGTCTTCTGCAGCTTGAGGCAGTCATCAGGGCAGACCTGGCGCCCTCGCGAGCTCTGGCGTCCTCATTCGGGCCGCCGTCGTTCCGTCATGTTCACGGGGCCTTGAAGGCGTATGCGCCTGGAGGTAGCTAGCGCTCAGGACAGAGCTCGTGGGCCCTGGGGGCCTCATGTGGGTCGGTCCGGTCTGTCTTTTCAAGCGGGCCGTTTGTGCTACAATCCTCTTTGGGGGGTCACGGGGCCCCCAGGGGTACACAGAATGTAAGGGTGAAAAGTATGATTGCCTGATGTCAGACATGGAAAGAGCGAACAAATTGCAACGCGTTAGAGCACCTGGCGCTGAGTATTCGGCGGCGGATTACAGGAATCGGCACATGACTAGCACGCGGCGGTGCTTGGACTGCGAGTTCCCGTCGTGCGCACACTGCTGCTACCAAGTACGTCGGGACGGGGCGCCCATCCCAGAAAAAAACAAGGAAACTGGTGAACGGGATGACAAAGGTTGCAGACGATGGTTTTGCTCTCAGAGCCAATGCGAAGGCTCCAGGCCCCGAACATGTACAAACACCAGAAGCGCCACTTGCAGAGGTGTGCTGAAGCCCTGTGATGCTTTTGGCAGGCGGCATAAGAATGTGGACACAGTTTGCCTCGAGTGCTACTACCCGACGTGTCACCGATGTCAGGTGCGGCACCCGCGTGACGGAGGAAAAGTCCGTTTAACGAACCCAGGTTGGTGCGCAGATGGGTTCTGGTATTGTCCAACATGTAGGGCAGGCTAAGAACGACTGGATGACTTGCGATGTGATGCTGTATGGAAAAAAGACGCCGAATCGAACCTTTTTTGGTTCGAGCTCACACGTTCGAGGGGTCCATTCGAGGGGTCCGAGGGCCGGTGGACTCGGATTAGGGCCCAAGATGGCGCCGGGAGGGCGCGAAAAGGGCCCCAAAACGGCCCAGACGGGCACTGGATGGTGTCGAAAACAGCAGATAAAACCGAGACGGGATACGGAGAGAGACCAAGGGGCGGTCACACTTAGTTCTGGGGCCTCAGAGGCACCTCCGGGGACCCCCGTTGGCGCGCCGAAAACGACCCGGGAGGGCGCCAAAAGGGCGGTCAGATGGTCCAAGATGGGTGCGGGAGACCGTGAGGACGGCCCGGGAGGCTTTGGAGATAGACCAAAGTGGCAGGGGAGGCTCCAAGAGTGCCGCAGGAGGCTGCAAGAGAGCTCCAAAAGGCGCACAGAAGGAAGCGGAAACGGCAGAAATCAGCAATTTCCTATAGGTTTTTGAAGGTTTTTGGTTTCTGCATGTTTTCGGCAGAACTTGCTTCGAAGAGGTCTCGGAAGGGGTCCGAAACGGCCCAAAAGGGGCCCAATAAGGGCCCAAAGGAGCTCCAGAGGGCTCAAAGGTGGTCCGAAAACTGCCCCAGAGGGTGTCCGGAGAGCGCCCAAACAGCGCCCGGAGGCGCGCGGAAGCTTTCCGTGCGAAGTCCTGCTGCAAGTGAAGACAAAATGGCCGCCAACGGACGTCCATTGCGCAGCTGGGGCCCCCGGGCCGGCGGAATGAGCAGCCCGCGGGGAGGACCCCAGGAGGGGTTGCGAAGCCTCTCAGGAAAGGAATTGGTACGAGGAGTGCATGAGCAAGGAGACGAAGGGGGCAGAAATCGTGCAGACCATGCGGCGGGGATCCCACACGCCGTTCCCGGTGGGGCGGCGGATCGCTTCGCTCATTCCGCCGGCCCATATTGTCGCACCGTTGTGGGCTAGCCGAATTTGGGGGCCTCTTGGGGGCCGTTTTGGGGCCTCTTGGGGCCTCTTTTGGGCCTCTTGGGCGCCTCTTGGGGCGTCTTGGGGGCCTCTTTGGGGCCTCTTGGGGCCTTTTTGGAGCCTCCTGGGCGCCTTCTGGGGCGGAGGGCTCGATTTTTCAGTTCTCGGTTCCCCTCTTGAGCCCCTCTTGGGCCCGTCTTGGGGCCTCTTGGTCCGTCTTGGGCGGCACTTGGGCCGTCTTGGGGGCCCTCCTGGGCCGTTCCAGGGCCGTCTTGGGAGCCTCGTGGGCCGTCTTGGAGCGGTCTTGGGGGCCTCTTGGGCCGTCTTGGAGCGTCCGGAAGCCGAAAAAGCCAGAACGCAAAAAACATTGAAAAAAACAATGAAAATCAACGATTTTGGCCTCTTGGGGCCCTCTTCGGAGGCCTCTTGGAAGGCCCTTGGGGCGTCTTGGAGGCCTCTTGGGCTGTCTTGGGGCCCTGTTGGGCGTCTTCGGGCGATCTTTGGCCGTCTCGGGGCCCTCTTGGACCGTCTTGGAGGCTTCTTGGGGACCTCTTGGCCCGTCCTGGGGCCCTGTAACAGGGCTCCGGCATCTCTGGCCCGACCTTGCCGGGACCTTGCCGGGGTACTTTTCGTCCGGGGACCCCCAGGGGCCGCCCCGCGCGCGCGAACTAGAAATACTGTTAACCAGGTACCGGAGATCTTAGCACGCCCTGGCCCGTTGGGCCGGCGAATTTAGGCGTGCTTTGGAGAATTCCTCTGCGTGTTGGAGCCCAGCTTGGGCCAGCTTGGGTAGCATCGGCCACGGAGTGCAGATGCACAGGCGGCTCCGGAGGGGAGGCCCTGGGGGTGTGCTGAGGAGCTCAACCACCCGCCCCCGCCCCTTCGGTGACACCCCCAGGCGCCCCTCTGGACCCCCCTAGGGCCCGCCCCCCTCCACTACGGGATTCTAAAACCCAAGAGGAGGGGGGAAGCTCGGGTGGAGCTAGGATTGTGGAGGGCGATCAATGGAGAGGAAGCATGTTGCCAAATAATTTCCAGATGTCTAAGCCATGTGTTAAGCATGTTTTAAGCATGTATCAAACATTCTTAAAGCATGTTTAGAACATGTTTCCGACATTTTAGACACGTTTTAAATTCAATGTTAGGACTGTTAGGTGTCCATTGTCGTGGCATCCACAAAGCCAGGACAGGGGCTAGCATCGTTACAGAGCTTTCCGGAATGCTCTTGGAGCGTTCTGGAGAGCTCTGGGAAGGCCGCGGCGCCCGACACGTCCGGAACCGCCGCGGCTCAGAGATCGCCGATGTATCCTTGTCGGATGTTGTCCCTGCCCTGGTTTCGTCTTAGACGAGGGGAGGGCGACGGCCAGTCATCTCGTACGCTTTTGCTCTGCTGACGACCTGCGTGCACCGTACTGCGTTGCAGTCTCCCGAGGCGTCGTCGATCTTCGACCCAGGAGCGGTACGGTGCACAGTTTTTGCGGCCCTCGGGGCCGAGAAACGGGTAAAGCGGAGGGAGCTCAAGCATGGTACAGTGCACGGGCGCCATTCTCGTACAGTGGGGACCCATGCCAAGAAACACCCTGCTTGCCTCCAGGGGGCCCTGGGTGTCTCGGGTCTCGATGGTTCTGCTGTTGGAAAGCGTGACCTTCCCACCTAGAAAAAAGCCAAGGGACGTCCCGGGGGTCGCAGGGTTGGGTCTCTTGTGCACGGCTTCTCGTGGTCGAGCCCCTGCTGCATCTGCACCTTTGTGGGCCCCGGAAACGGCAGGGCCGTTTTTTCACCGTTTCCCAAAAACGTGTCCCTTAAAAATGGAAAAGGCAAAAAAACGGCGACCGAAAACGGCAAGAAAACGGCTCCAGGATTGGAGCCGGAGCCGGGACCGGTCAAACAGCGGCGACGGAACCGGTCAAACCACGGCGTCGGAACCGGCAACAGACACGGCAGAACGGAGCCAGTGAACAAACGGCCCTGTCGTTTCCAGGGCCCGCCAAGATCTGCACCCCCGGCGGGCGGGGGTCGGCGGCTTTTCCTCTTCTTCGCCCCGCGGCGGGGCCAGGCCGGGCCGCTGCCCGCGGGCGCGCGCCCGCTTTCGGCACGGCGTGCCGCCGCTTCCGCCGTCGGCCTCGGCGCGGGCCATTGCGCCACCCAGGCTCGTTTCGGGGAGCCGCCGCGCAGCCCCAGGCTCCCGAGGGTCGGCGGTGAGCGAGGGGGCCAAGTGGGGGGGAGGGGGAGGAGGCCTTCTCGGAAGGCGGCGGGGCTGCTCACGGGCCCTGCAGAGCCTGCTGAGCAGTTTTCCCGTGTCCTCCGGGAGCGGACTTCTCAGAAGGCCGGAAGGACTCCCGAGCCCTCTTAGAAGCAGCGGGAACAGCAGAGCTCCCAACCCTCATCACACGATGAAGACGTGGCCTCACTGAGGTCTCAGTCTTCGCATGAGGGATAATACATCTGGACGGTTTGGTCTGATGCTCTTGCAGGAACGACCCCCTGATCCCTAAGTTGTTTGGCCCTCCAAAGTTAGGTCCCATCCCCACGGGTTAGGGGTATCCTGTGTCTTCTGGGAGCGCTTGGAGACCTCTTCAGCAGGCCGAAGGGCTTCCCAGCCTTCTCGAAAGGTCCGCCCCCGCCCACTTCCCCCCCCCCGAGCTTGCCGCCGAGAGGGGGTACGGGCGCAGACCGCCAGCTTGGATGGCGCCCCCCGTACGGGAGGGGGGGGCGAGCTTATGACTGCCACGCTTGCGCCGCGGAAGCCCCGGCGCAGGCCTGGGGCGGCGTCGCAGCATCATCGTCGACATCGCCATCGCCATCGCCATCACCACCACCATCACCATCACCATCACCGTCACCATCATCAGCACCAGCGTCATCATCACCGTCACCATCGTCAACATCATCATCAGCATCAGCATCGCCATCATCATCACCCTCATCATCACCACCATCTCCATCACAATCACCACCACCATCATCATCCACCACCACCGCCATCGGCATCATCAGCATCAGCATCATCATCATTCTCACCATCAGCAACATCCCCTCATCTCCAATCGGCAGCAGCATCACCATGGCCGCCATTATACGCATCTTCACCACCATCACAATCACCACCACCACCATCACCATCGCCATCACCATCATCACTACCATCTCATCATCATCATCATCATCATCATCATCATCATCATCGCCATCGTCATCAGGATCACTGTCATCATCATCACCATTATCATCATCGTCATCGTTATCATCATCAGCACAATCAGCATCAGCATCTTCATTATCATATTCTCCATCATCATCATCACCATCATCAACATCATCATCATCATCATCATCATCATATGTATCATTACATGTACCATCATCATCACAATCATCGTTACCACCACCATCATTACCACCATTAACATCATCATCAGCATCATCACCATCATGATCATCACCACCACCATCATCATCACCATCCTCCTCATCATCACCACCATCATCACCATCATCACCATCATCTCGTCTTCCTCCCCCTCGTTGACAGCTTGGAGAAGATCTCACCGTCAGCTGCGCAGTGGATGTTGCCGATGTCCCAACGGATCGCCATGCAGGACATCGGTACTGAGGGAAAGGGGCTCCGAGCTGTTGTCAAACAAGTCTTTTGCCTCCCTGGGCCCTCCGCGGGCATTGGGCTTGTCACATATAATGACTGTCGGGGCTTAAGAGACAGGGTCAGTCAGAGCGCCAGATCTTGCAGGATCCTGCGGTGCCAGGGGTACATTGATCCAGGTTTGGGTTCAGGATCGTGCAGGATCCTAGGATCTCGCAGTATCCTGCGAAGCCCGACTGACAGGGGTCTGGATGGACCCGGGTCAGTAGATCCCCGAGGTGGCGGGTGACAAGCTGTTCCAGGAGAAGCCCCCCCGCGGGTCCTTTCCAGGGCCCCTTCCGTTCATGCCGAAACGAGCGCCTTCCGCGCAGCCGCGGTCGCCGTCAATTTGGGGCGCCGTCCCCACTGGTATCGTCCCTGCATCGCCATGGCGCCCCTTCCCGCCTATTGACCTCCCCGAGGTGACCCTGGCGCCAGGGCAGCAGATGATGGTGCATGCCTCCATCAAGGTGGCAAGCACCGAGACAGGCAGGGCCTGCACCTGTGCGTTTGCAGCGTCAGCGCAGGGAGCAGCAGCAGAGACTGACAGTGCGACAGCGCTGGCAGCCCTAGCAGCAGTCGCAGCAGAGGCAGAGGCAGTCGCAGGAGCAGTAGCACCGAGGGTTAGCAGCAGTATCAGCAGCATCGGCACCAGCACTGTCAGCAGTCCTAGGATAGGGAGGAGAAGAGTGGGGAGGTGGAAGGTGAGCATGACAAGTTCGATGGTGAGGCGAAGTGAGCATGGAGAGGAGATGGATTGGTAAGGCAGGGTGAGAGCAGGGATGCAGTGGCTACAGGGAGGGGGGGGGACAACTGAGCCAGGAGGGGGGGGCGCGTCAGAGGAGGGCGAGCAGGCGGCGCTGGCGGCGAAGGTGCCAGAAGGGGCGGAGGGGGGTAGCAGAGGAGAACGATGAAGGTGGTGGGGGTTCGGGTTGGATGGGAGGGGTCGCGGGAACTGAAGGGCCGGGTTAGGAACGGATCGGCAAGACAGTGCAGAGGAGGTGGATGAAGGGGGGTGGCGGACGAGGAACCGCACGGTGCGGATGCTGAATGAACGCCGGACTGGTGACGAGAGCCAGGAGCAGGAGGACAGAGGATGGCACAGCTGACACCAAAGCACGCAACATCAGCGAGTCGCCCAGGCATTATCTTTGGTTATGTTACGTATGAGAAGAAGAGTGCCGCCGACAAGGACACGCGGTGCGGCTCAGCATGTGCCGATGGCGCAGCCGCTGCGGAGGGAACCCCTCTGTCCCACGACCGCCCCTCGCCGTCGTGGTCCTCCTCGTCCTCCGCCTCCCCCTGATCTCCTCCGTCTCCTGCCTCCTGTTGCGGGGCTGCCTAGGGGTCCCTTGGAGGCTGCGGGGGCGGCCTCGCGGAGGTCTCTCGGAGCTCTTGGGGGTTGGGGGGGCTTTCTGGGGGCTTCTCGGGGGCATCTTGGTTACGTTCTGGATTCGGGGGACCTTCCTCGGGCCCCCCCAGCGGATCTGTTCGACTCCCAGTTCGGATCCAGTTCGCTTCTAGCTCAACTCCAGTTCGAGTCAAGTCGGCGGACATTCGATGCATCATCGACGCGTGAGTGGAGCGAGTGGCTCCACGGAGGTCCCCAGAACGAGCACCCATTCCTGAGGACGTGCTGGGTCTCTGGGGGGCCAGCTGGTGGGGGAGGGCTCTCTGGGCCCCCCGCGAGCTCCCCCTCATCGGGCCTCTCTTGCGCACCTCCCTGGGGTCCTCGGGAGGGCCTCTGGCCGCCTTGGGGACCCCTCGGGCCGCCTCGGGGCCCCCTCTTCTCGGGACTCCTGGGCCCGCCGTGGGTCGGCCTGGGGCCCCGTGGGCCGCCCAGGGCCTGCGGAGGCGAGGTCGCCTCCTCCTCCTCCTCCTCCTCCTCCTCCTCCTCCTCCTCCTCCTCCTCCTCCTCCTCCTCCCCCTCCCCCTCCCCCTCCCGCTGTCTGCCTCCTGGGGCCCTGTCGGGGCTCCTCTGGGGTCCATCTCGGGGCGTCGCGTGGGGGGCCTCTCCGGTGCGTCTTGTGAGGCTGTCTCGAGCGCTCCTGAGGCCTCTCCGGCGTGTGTGGGGGCCACTCCTGGGAGCCATCTCGGCAGGCATCTTGGGCGTCTTCGAGGCCAGCGGTGGTGGATTTGGAGGCTCCGAGGGCCCCAGGGGTGCACTCACGAGCTCGTCCACCGGAGCAGGGGCGGGGGGCAGCCAGTCCTCTCACGCGCCTTGTCACCACTCGCAAGCGGGGGGTTGGCGGACTGCGCCCTGATGGCGTTGTGTGGCGCAAGTCATCTTCAGCCCATACCCTTCAAGTCCCTGTCGTCGGACAATCCCCGGGTGTAAAAGCCGATGTCCCACCGTTTCCCTCTCCATAGGAGCCTATCCCGACCCCAGGCTCATTTTTTCTCCCTCTCCGTTTCTAATCGAGCCTGATCCTGAGGAGTGCACTGTGCTGAACGAGCTGCACGTAGACATCCTGGACTACATTGAGCGCGCTTGGATCGGCGAGCTCGCGTTCCGGACCATGTGGTCCGCTTGTCTTATGTTTCTGTCGTCAGATACTATGAAGCAAACCGATGTGGCCTTGCGAGATCCTACCCGCCCGAGATCTTTGGCCCCCTGAATTGGAGCCCTGGCCCCCCCTTCGTCTGCTCACCCAAATTTGCAGCGTCACTCTCGTGGCCCTGCTACCCACCTATGTCGGGCGACGAGATGTGTAGATCTCTTTGCCCTACTATGCTCCCCAAGTCGCCTTCCGCTTCATCGTTTTTGTCTCGGGCGCGTGCTGGATTGCTCTCACAGCCACGGCTGGACTCCGCCTCGAGTGCTGGTCGCGATGATGCTCTGGAGGTGTGTGGTGGCGTCTTGCGCCCGTTGCTGGCGGGGCGTCGCGCGGGGCTGTAACACGCACAAGCCTCTCTCTCAGAGACACGCAGGAGCAAGTATGTCGGCTGCCGGCATGGCCCATGGCCTTTTTTTTGTTTCTCTCTCTCTCTCTCTTTTGCTTCTCTCTCTCTCTCTTCCCCCCTCTCTCTCTGTGGAGAGGGAACCGAGAGCCACCAGCCGCGCGGCGTATTCATTGCACTCCCGAAGTCGACGTGTGCAGTTTTTTTCTCTAGCGACTCTCTCGGGACCCTCCTCCCCGCTGTGCTGTGCCTCTGGGACGGCGCCACGCAGCGGGCATGACGCTGGGCCAGTGGCACGCGAAGGGAGTATCGGCCACGCGCAGAGGGGGGCAGGAGGAGGGGGAAGCACCCCTGCTTCTCAGAAGGCGCGGGCTTTGTCTGTAGATGCCTCCTTCCAAGAAGCCTTCCCTCCTCCTCCGACTCTCTTGCAAGCCGCAAGGAGTAGCGCTTGCAGCAGGCACATCAGATGAGAAGCAAAGTTGCCAACGGGTGCCCAATGGACATCTCGCTTTCCCTCGAGGGCCCCAGGGACTTACACGCTGTGTTGGAGCTCCCTAGCAGGTTCGAACATAGGGAAAGTCCTGTCCCTCCTCGGCTCCTGGTGGAGGCGCCGACACCACTGGGGGGCGGGCACTCGGACTCGCTCCCGGACGCACCGACCTGCGGGTCGATCCGCAACCCCTTTGCTCCACAAGATCGGTGGGCCCGGCGAGCTCTGCCTGGCCTTCTCCCCTCCCTCGCTTCTCAGGGCTCATTCCGATTCCGCCGGATCGATTCGATGCGACTTCCCAGGCCGCCGATTCGAGCCGATTCGATGCGGAGATTCCGATTTGCGATTCCGATGTCGAGTTCGCCCGATCCGACTCCTGCCGGTTCGATGTGTCAGCCGATTTCTGCCGATTCTTGCCGATCCGGCTTCGCTTCGGATGGATATGTTGCGCCGTGCTGGGTTCCACGCGGTTGCACGTGCGGTGTGCTGCATTCGCGGAGTGGAGCGGCTCTCCTAAGCAGGAGTCGTGCGGCAATACACGCTGCCGCGGGTGTCTGCTGTGTTGTCCCAGGGTCCCAGGCGCGGGACGGCCCGAGAAGCCCAGAGGCTCTGCGGGCCGTCCCTCGACCCCTCCGCCGCCACCTGACGAGGTCTGAGTTCGAGTGGGAGAACAAGATCAACATCAACACCTCGATAACCGAGGTCGGCACCTTCTTGGAGCACATTATGCGGAATACAAACATGTCCATCGTTGGCCGCAGCTACAAGAAGGCGCCGCGGCCGAGAGGGGGGTTGCCCCGCCGCCCTCCGCACAGGTGCACCGCGCATGTCGGAGGAGTAGTGAAGCGCGCACGAATGTACGCTCATGTTTCTGCTCTCTCGCTCTTTCGTTCCCTCTCTCTCTCTCTCTTCCTCTCCCCCCTCTCTCAATGTATGACTACATAGGTATAGATGTAATGTGTATATTCCGTCATTTTGGAATTAAGGTAATCATGTGTGTTTCTATATGTATGTGTAGATCGATGTTCTCTGTCGCTCTCTCTCTCTCTGTCTTCAATGCTTGTGGATTCGTAGTTTTTGTTTTGCCCTCTGTCTTTCTGTTTCTCACATTCACTCGTTATCTGTACCGTACATGGTGGCTACAGTGTGTAAGCCTTTCTCTCTCTCTCTCTGTCGCTCCCCTCTCTCTCACTAGCTCCTCTGGTCAGTCATCTTCCTCCCCCATCCGATTATCATTTTCGCGGCTGCATGCATGCAGCTTCTGGTGTTTTTCTGTGTCCCCCTCAGTCTTCTTTTCCCTTTCCTCTCCATCATCCCCCCCTCGTCGTTCGTCGCACTCTTCTGCTACTTCATACCCTCCTCTCCCTCCCCTCCTCCTCTCCTGCCCTCGTCCTCGTTGTTGTTGTCGTCCTTCCCAGTGCTTCTTCCTAGTAACTTATTCTTCCAAAGGCACCACCTCGCCTCATCGCCGCGCATATTCGCTTCAAAAGTTCCCAACAGTTCCAAAGATGGAGGCCGGTGCGGGTTCACAATGCGGCTCTCGCTTGAGACCTCAGTTTCGATGACCCGGAATTCCGAATTGCGCAACAGTTGCACGGATGGGTCGCGGCTCCTTCTCACAGTGGTGCTCTCGCTTGAGACGACCACCGGAAGTTTCAAGAGCACAATTGTGACTTGGTGAAACGCTTGCGGACAGGGTGCAGATTCTTCATCATCACGACACTATCGTTGGACATTGCTATTAAGTGTATGATCCTGTTTCTTTCAGCTCGCGGAATGGAGGGTGGTTCCTTTCCAGAGCGGGATCTCGCTGGAGTTGCAGGCCCACAGTGCTCTCATCATGGGGGGGGGGTATTTCCCGCAGTTGAAAGAAATACCTGCGGGGACTTCTGAGGAGGGAACTGGGGACGGGAGGGTGTGCTTCAGTATCATTGGTTTACCCTGGTTTTACTTTGGTCCTCCTCCTCTCCTCCTCATCCGTCCTTGTCCCCCGTCCCCGCCTCCTCCCTTCCGTCCTCGTCTTCGTCCTCGTCGTCGTCCTCCCCTCCCACTACTTCCAGAAGTGAGGGGATGCGTGCAGGTGTCTGCAGCCGAGGCGGGGATACCGTTTGAGGCACCGCCGTTTGCCCCCCTGTCGTGCTCTCCCCCCGATGTGGCGGTGCCTTTGTTTGTTGGTGTACTCGCAAATACAAGGCTCCGCGGAGCCACGCCAGCCTCCCGACCAGGTTCGAACACCTTGGCCTGAAGAGGTGCTGGCCCACGGCCCAAGCTGTACCTTCTTTACCCTCTTGTTTGCTTCATCTCGGGGTGCGCTCAGTACCTTCTGTACCTTCTGTAGCTCCTCTCCCCCTCCTGTACCTTCTGGTTCCACCCTTAGAAAGGCTGGGGGATCGCCCTCCCTGCCTCCCTCTCCGAACCCCACGATATTCCGGTCCGTCGCCCCGTGCCCCCTCTGCCCGAAGGCCCGGGGGTGTGCCCCCCCCCCCCCCCCCCCCCACCCCCCGGGTGCCCGAGGCTCGGTCGCTCTCCCCTCCCCAAGGCGCCCCACGGTCCCCCTGCTGCCTCGCTTCCCCCGAGTCCCCTCCCGGGGTTCGCCCGTCCGGCTCCCGAGGCCGCCCCCTCTCGCTCTCCGCCTCCCTCCGTCCGCCCCTCTCCTCTCTCCGCCCCGCCCCTCCCTCGTCTCTCCTTCCTCTCTCTCTCTCTCTCTTTTTTTTTCTCTCTCTCTCTCTCTCTCTACCTCCCGGTTCTTTCTTCTGCCATCTCTCCTCTTTCCCTCCCCTGCACCCCCTCTTTGGAACCTTCCCTATCCTCCTCCTCCTCCTCCTCCTCCTCCTCCTCCTCCTCCTCCTCCTCCATTCCTCCTCCTCCCCCTCCTCCACCTCCTCCTCCCCTCTCCTCCCCCCCTCCCTCTCCTCCTCCTCCTCCTCCTCCTCCTCCTCCTCCTCCTCCTCCTCCTCCTCCTCCTCTTCCTCCTGCTCTCCTCCTCCTCCCCTCCTCCTCCTCCTCCCCTCCTCCTCCCCCCTCCTTCTCCCCCTCCTCCTCCCCCGTCCTCCCCCTCCTCCTCCTCCTCCTCCTCCTCCTCCTCCTCCTCGTCCTTCCTCCTCCTCCTCCTCCTCCTCCTCCTCCTCCTCCTCCCCCCTCCTCTTCCTCCTCCTCCCTTAAGCCTTTTCGGCCCTGGCCTTATCCCCAGGGCTGTCCCAGGACCTCCACGAGGTGCTTGAGGGACTTCCGTGCCCCTGTCCATTCTTGTTCAGGTTCTACGGTTGACTAACGCTGGGACATCATGGGGCGCCATGCGCGCCACGTTCCCGGAGCTGAGGGCGCACCCTGGCGGCAAGTGGTGGGGTCCACCCGCCTATGGAGCCGATGCAAAGGGTGTAACGCATGCGAGTACAACGACCGCCTCGGCCCCACTCATCCAGTCTGCCCCAGGTGCCACAGGCCCATGAAGTTGCACCGCTCTCGTTCACGCAGCCCCAGCGTCGTCCGCTTCGGGCCCGAGGAGATCATCGAGCTCCCCGACCAGGCTGCGAACATCGAGGGCGGTGCCCAGGCAGGCGGCGCCAAGCCGCGTACGACCTCCAACGCCGAGCTGGCCGCTCACTTGCGGCAGGCCATGGGCATCGCCACCGACCCAGCCTTGCAGGCGGTCCTCCACGCCCAGGTGCAGCGGCTGGGCGCTCCCGACGCCGTCGAGGTCCAGGAGAGCGAGGTCGAGGCGATCAGGAAGGCCGACGGCGCGTGGCGGGCAGCCACGAACCATCACAACCAGGTCGTCAGCAATGTCATCAGGCTCCGCAAGGCGCTCGAGGCTGCAGAGAGCAAGGAGCAAGCCGCCGCGCTCGAGGTCGCTCGCACGGAGCAGGCCAAGAGGCGCGCGGCGGAGGCTCTCGCCAGGGCAGAGGGAGTCGGCCGCTGCGACCCGACTTCCCACGGTGCCCAGGGCGACGGGCCTCAGGAGCCCTTCGCGGTCAAGTGGGACCCCGACCTCTTCAAGCAGATCGATGAGCTCGACTTCACCGAAGCCGAGCAGGCGGAGCTCGACGCCATCAAGAAAGGGCTGGAGGACCTCCAGCAGCAGTTCGCTACCAAAGGACCGCAGGTCACGAGCCTCATCGAGAGGGCTCGCAAGGTCCGCAGCGCCCAGGAGGCCAGGTACGCCAAGAAGCGCAAGGGGGCTGACGGCCAGACCAACGGTGGCACTCCTGGGCAGGCCGACGAGGCAGCCACCCCGCCACGGGGCTCCAGTGGCGTGGCTGGCGCCGAAGGCAGCTCAGCCGATGGCGGCGTGAGCGCCAGCCCCGCCGAGGCCACGCCTACCAAGGGCGCCGACCAGCAGCTGGCGGCCGAGGCCGCCAAGCTCTCGGCCGCTAGGTTCGCAGCCCAGGCCGCCGCCGCCGACGCCACTCGACCAGGAGGAGCTGCCGCAGATCCTGCCGCCAAGCCAGCGCCAAGGGCAAGGGCAGGCGCAACGGTCGAGCTCACTCCGAGTGACTAGGCACAGCAGGGTCACTTCAGCTGCGGGAACGGCGAGCGTCCCTGGCTCACGACGCCGTGGCAGCCACTACCAGTACCAGTGCATCCTCTACTTTGTTCTTTGGGAACATCACATGTGCAGGCCAGAAGACGTTCGACTGGGTCAAGACATCTACGGACGACTTCGTGGCTTTTGTGGAGACACACATCAGTGACGGCAGCGTTGGCAAGTGGAGGGCACGATATCGAGATATCAATCGTCGGCTCTTCGCCAACCCTGCGAGACCTCCTCAGGTTGATCAGGAAGTTGGGAGGCTACACCATTCCACCAGTGAGTGTACAGTCGCTCCTGAGCATGCCAATGAGGGAGGAGAGTGGTTTCTTCCCAGATGGCACCTCCGCGCCCATTCCCTCTTAGAGTGCCTCCAGGCCAAAGGGCTCCAGTGTCTTCCCACCTCCAGCAGCCTCGATGGTTTCCTCCCCGTGGTGATTCACCTCAAGGGGTACTCCATTGTAGCTGTTTTCTTTTACGCCTTCTGTAGCATAGGCCTGAGAGGGCCCAGTGTCGCCCGCTTTAGACGTCTCGGGAGCCTCCTCAGGCCCCTCCAGCTCCCATGGTTTGTCGCCGGGGACTGGAACCTCAGCCCCGAAGCTCTCAGTAGGACAGGCTTTCTCCATCAGGTCCAAGGGGGGATCCTTTGCGCTCCTGTGGGATACACGTGCGACCCTGGCGGCGGACGTGAGCCATCGCATTTGGATTTCGTTGTTCATAGCGCTGCTGCCCGCACGTACCTGGTCGACGTTTCCGCTGTGCATGGCATACCGTGGAAACCTCACATAGGTTTGCGAATTCGGCTCGTTCAAACAGGAGAACAGCTCCTGACTAGAGTTCTCGGCCTGCCTAGACGGCTCCCCGCCGCCAACAAGCCCCCCAGAGTTGCCGCCCCTGGCTCTGAGGCCAGCCGTGCCAGAGCAGCCAGAGAGGAAGCCCGTCTCAAGACAGAGGCTAACAGGCATACTCTTTTTTCAAACGCTTATCCAAGGTTTCCAGGGCAATGACCCTGCAGAGTTGTCCACCAGTGCTGGCGAAACGTCCGATAATGATGTGCCCGAATCCCAGCTCGCGGACAGCTCTGACGAAGAAGACCCCTGGGCTCACGATAGCAGTTTCAGCCCACATGCGCCTGCTGCTGCCTCGAACCCCGCTCGCGTCGAGACAAAAGACATGTCGCCAAGCTCAGCATTGGAGTGCCAGGCCCTGCCATCCAGTCAGCATCGTTTGCACCGCCCAACACT